CTCTCTCTCTCTCTCTCTCTCTCTCTCTCTCTCTCTCTCTCTCTCTCTCTCTCTCTCTCTCTCTCTCTCTCTCTCTCTCTCTCTCACACGTAGAAGGTGCATATGAAGGGCGGAGTAAGAGGATGCAGAAAGACGAAAAGAAGGATCTCTCCTCTCAGCGGAACCAGATACTGACCAGCGAAAGATGTAATCTTGAGCTGTCCTCTGATGTCTAGCGATGGAGATGCAACGATGGTGCCAACAGGTAGGTCCTTTCTAGCCCAGTCTCCGCTGTTCTCTACTCCCCACTCCACTGACACTGATGCGCTAGCTCCTCTAACGCCGCTCCCGGAGCAACATGACGAAGTGTGTCCTCAAAACACTCCGTGCCTAAACTGATGCCAGCCCAGCTAAAAATACCGCTGGGTCTAAGGAGCCTGGGGGTGGCCTAAGTCCAGAACCGTCCGATCTGAGATCTGATCGACGGTCCAGGAGGGAGGCCGTGAAACTGCCCCAGTCTCTGGGGCAAAACGTGGCCTGTCCAAATGCTGCGAAATGACAAAGGGGGCTGAAACGTGGAAAAACGTTTCAGCCTGAAAACGAGTGTGTGTTGCAGCCTAAGGAAAACGGCTGCTTGCAGTGCTTGGCCTGAGAAGAGGTCCAGACTCCAGATCCAGATTGGAACAGACAAAACGGACTGCTAAGATTCCCTAAGAACTCCCCCACGTCTGCTTGCAATGCTTGGCCTAAAACGATGTCCAGACTCCAGATCCAGACTGGAAAAAACAGGTCATAGGGTAAATAGTAAATACTAAATATATTTTGCGTGAAATTTGCGGCATATAATATTAAAATTAAAAAATGACTTCCACTAAATAATAACCAAATCGCCTTCCCTCTAAGTATGGAGGGCCGAAGGCGCAAGAGCGCGCTTTACCCCAAGGCCCCAAATAAGCTGCCTAGGCCCAGAATGGACGGAACCCGACCCCAAGGCCCCAAATAAGCTGCCTGGGCTCAGAATGGGCGGAACCCGATTCCGAGGCCCTGGAAATCAATCACGGCCCCAAAACAAATTGGACAATGCTGGGCCCAACGCCCCCCCCCCCCTCTCTGTGGGATTCGAGTATGCCACACATGTGAAGACTGCAATATCGGCATCGTCAACGACGATGATATGCAGCTGTGCCTGGCCCACATGTGGCTGAATGGTACACAGTGCGACACACATGTAGTAGTTTTTAGCAGAGAATAATAAAACACGAGTCCAGATCCTGTTGGGAAATGAGCACAATATACAGGCTACCCCCTCCAAAAGAGAAACACAAAACAAAAAAAAACAAAAAAAACAAAAAAAGTTGATAAACAACAACAAAGATCGTATGCAGCAACCGATGAGCCTACCTAGCTCTCAGTTGGTACACCCAAGAACTGTTGAAATACAGACCCGAGTTCGAATCCAGAACGTGTGGACCCCTTTTTCTTTTGATATTATCATCTCGATTTAAACGCTGCAGCTCTTCGTACGTGCATCTCAAGCTTTTTTTTTTTTTTTTTGGGTCAAGATTTTTTTTGCCGAACAACTCCGCATCTACAAGTCTCCAGGTCATACCGTCATACACACAGCTTCTCCTTCTCCTCCTCCCGCTGCACAATCAATCGACTACAAAATATTTACCACCAACTTGCGGCGCCAAGTAGATTGCCTTAAGTGTTCAGATTTGCAGCACTCTGCATTCCGGCAGCACAAACGGCAACCCGGCTCACAAAGATAAGACAGTCACAATGATGCTTAGTCATCTGTAAAAGGGGCGCATTGGGCGCGGTTCCCAGCACGTGATGACGCTCGGGCGGGAGAAGGGAGGCCTCTTGGCTCATGAGAGGTTACGCAGTTAAGCCTCTGATGAAGGCAAGGCTACGAACACTGTGTGGCACAATCAGCTGTTATGTGCGTGATTGAAACGAAATCCAGCGTGTCATTCACACATTCCCATACACAAGTAGATTTGGAGCGAGCAAACCACACCAAACCAGATGAGGAGAACACACAGCAGAAGCTCAGAGAACCAAAAATAGAATAGAATTCAATCCAATTCTGATGACACCGTCTCTCCCCAATTCAATCAGCAGCACGAATTTCCAGGAAGCTTAACCACATCACAACACCCCCGAACAAAGCAGAAACAGGGTGATGGAGACGTCTTCTCCGTCCCTCCTCCTCGAGCTCTCAGCTATGGCGCTTCTTCTCCTTCAGCGCCCAATCTATCAAGCCTGCAGATCGTCAGAACACCCTGGAGGACGCAAGCGCCCTGTCAGCATCCAATCGGAGAGCCCGATTGCCGCAAAGAGCCGCACAGTCACCAGGGAGCGCCAGCTCTGCGGAACGAAGACAAAGTCGCCCCTCGATGAAGACGATGAACCTGCCGCACGAAGAAGTCAAACAAGAGCTGCATCGGAGGCAGCTGTCGACCCCAACAGCACACAGGAGGAAGCGCAATCAGCGAAGCCCAGCGTCGCCCTCGATGGGAGCTGGCAGGTCCAGCAGCTATGGCCGCCGGCAACTCTTCGGAGAAAGGTGCCCTGCGCAGGAAGTAGCAAAGCCCTCGACACATGACTTCCGTCCATACCAAAAACGCGAAAAGAAGTAGCGACGAACCTGACTCAACTCCACCTCCCTGCTTTTCTACCTCTGACTTGACCTAGGACTGGAACTCAACCTGCCGACCTATCGGACCGAAACCCTACAGCCTAGGACAGAGCAAACAGACACGGGCCTACCGGTAGCGAACGGACTACCATGATAGGCCTAAAACAACCAAAATATTATTCAAAATGTCTCTCTTTGAGGGACAAGGCCTGCGGTCGTCACAGTTAGGACCCAAACCCAAGAAAAATTACAAAAACGTCCTACCTACCGTCTTCCCCCGAACATCACGCATATGTGTCGTATCAGAGTTCTCGGGCTAATCGAACACTCGAATAGAGCACGTTCGTGCTGTATGCGAAAACCAGGGCTGTTCGAATACAACGCATATGCGTTGTATTCGAATAGAAAGCAGCCATATGCGTTGTATTCATTTGCAACGCATATGCGTTTACGTTCGGGGGAAGACAGCAGTGTTACACAGCAGTCCAAGGAACCTGCAAGTTTGTTGCACACCAGTCCAAGGAACATTGGGCTTGGTTCCTAGTAATTGCTCCTTGTCCCATGACGCATCAACCATTGTCTAGGTTCCAGCTGTTTAACAATTATCTCTGTTGGGCATTTGTTGCCCTGGGAGACCCCAGGGGATGCATCAACCATTGTCCAGGTTCCAGCTGTTTAGCAGCATTTTGCAATTTTCCTACAGCCTGGGCCTGGCCGGGCAATCCCCTGGGGGGTCTCCCAGAGCAACAAATGCCGCCAGGAACTACAGGTCCACCGATCAAACTGTGGCACTCAGGGCCGCTGCAGCCGTTTTCCAGCAAGTGAAGCTCCCCATCAATAGAATGGAGCCGCAAACCAGGGGTGCTACTGGGGGATGCTCGTATCACCCCCGATTGCAACACGGGCAGCGATTACCGAAACAAAAGAAAAGAAAAAAAGAAAAAAGAAAAAAAGATGGTCACATTATGTCATTATCCAACCACAGAGGAACAATCGCGCCAGAGCGCGCACGATGGAGAGAGCAAGCCAGCAAGCATGTACAGTTCCAGCCCATCGACATAAACATTCAAACTCTGCATCTGTGCGTTTGTGAGAGAGCCCACAAGAGCGACAAGTACACGGGCAAGAGAGAGCCTCTCCTAGAATTTCGGAGGCTCGGGACAGGCCGTCTGAAGGCCTAGTAGAAAAAAAAAGTTTGTCCCGTGCCATGGGGTGGCACTAGGCCCACCCGTGAATAAAACATCAATTCCACCCACCCACCCCCAAACAGGCCCTGTCCCAA